CATTTTTGTTTAAAGAGCCCCCCCCCCCCCCCCCCCACCCATCCCCTCTCCTTCAGGTATAGGCCTAGATAGGATATGACATAATATTATTGTAAGACTAGGCTATAATTATACTAATTGAAGGCTTGACTGTTGGCATACGCAACGTTTCAACAATTTACATCCTGGTAGTATTGTGTTATTGTGAAAACTGAAACAAATAAAGGAAATATGGACGCTTTTGACAGTTTTGAAATACGTCATCAGCAAGTACCCACCAATCGTCATTTGATTTAGTTGCCGTTTGTTTTGTACAGAGTTAATTATGAATAATTATGGATATCATTAAAACATAATTTATATTATGATATTGTGAACTATTTATATTGTAATTTAACAATACCATATAATTTCTATAAGTATTTTCGTTTATTTTATTCTTATCTTTCTTTGTTTAGTTTTGCCATTCGTTTTTTTCGTCATATGATTTCGAAATAGCCTATTTAAATCTGGTATTTCTTTGTGCAAGAACGACTTGCTATAAACATAAACATAATTTCAGGTCTTCTTCCTTTCTATTACGTTCATATTTGACATTTGAAATTGCCAAAAAATTCAGAAATAGGCCTATTATGAATATTATTCTTTTTTTCAGATTTCGGACAACGTAGCTCCAACAAGAGAAATGTAGGCCTTCAAATCGTCTCAGCTAGTCTGCCTAATTTTCAAAATTCTCCAAACCCCCTTTCGTCCAGTCCCACATTTCCTAACAGTCGTAAACTATTTCTAAATACATCAAATTTGATAAATCTAACATGATTAATTCAGATTAAAACAGACACTCTCGAACTAATTCACTTAATTCCATATAAGGAGCGTCGTCAACTCTCAACTTCAAAACGAGGCGAAAAAACGCAGACGACGTGAAAACGTAGTCGGAGAATCTTCCATAGAAGCTAATGGATGCGCACCTGTTTTCGCCGGCCAAAATTCCCATTTATTGGAGCTAAGGTAAGTTGAAATTAATATTTTTTGTTTGATTTGACCCATAGATACACGTGCAAATTAAATTTCGCCATATTTTCGACGAAGTTAACCAAATCTAAGCGTTGAAGACTCCCCCACCCCACCCTTCCATACACCCATAAGAAACTTCAAATTTCCCCAATATTTGTGCAGCTTTTCTAAAGAGAACTGATAA